AATGGAAGTGAGGTCATAAGTCTGTCATGGTCACATGATGTCTCGCTTAACAACCATGTTGTTCCTGGTTTCAACTGTGGTTGTTAAGCGAGGACTACCTGTATTCCTTGACTATATGAGGAAGTTGAAGCAATAAAGCTTTGGGTAACAATGGGATAAATACAAATGAAGACTGATGAAACAGATTAAAGTTCATGTTAGAGTTTTTATAGTGTAGTGATGGCCATTAAAGATAATTCAGAACACTGCTGTTCAGTGGAGTTGTTTCAAGTGATGTCGTGCTTGGTGTGCCCAACCTTGTATGTTGAACAGACGGAATTCTTTATGAACATTGTAACTTGTTTGTAAAACATTTATTAGTAATATTGCATATATCTGACACAGTATAACTGATAGCATAATTACAGATGTTATTATACACCCAACTGTTCACCCTTATAGCAGATAAAATTTTGGGGAGAGGTATGGATTGCCACGTTGATTTGTTGGTGAAGTTTGAAAAAAGCCAGTGGCCATAGTGTCTCTTGATGGATGAACGTGAATGTGAGAAATTGAATATTCTTCAGTACGGCATTATGGTTTCCTAATATAGCTCAACTTACTGCATGATTTTTTTCTGGTCATATTTATCATTTTTTCTAATACCAAACTGTACTTACCTGTTTAACCCTGTGCCTTTCAGTTTGGAAGTGAAAAATCACTGCTGAAAAATCAAGTAGCATTTTTGCATACTCATTGAACTTTCCAGATATACAGAAGTACATTATTTGTAAATTAAAATTATTCTTTAAAAAAATAGAGTCTGAAACTGTGGCTTCTGGTACCTGTGAAATGTGGAGGATGTTGACTGAAAGAAAGAAAAAATAAAGGACAAAATCAGACTGCCAGAGCTTATATAACAGCTTATATTATTCTGAAAGGGAGAAGAGTTGGGTAAAGTGTGTGCTTTGTAGTTTCATGTTTCTCCTCTCTTACTATATAAGGAAGCTATATGGTGTCCAAGAGCCAATTTGGTGTAGTGGTTAAAGTCACTGGGCTAGAAATCAAGAGTCTATACATTTCTAGTCCTGCCTTAGGCACAAAGCCAGCTGGATGACTTTGATCCAGTCACTCTCTCTCAGCCTTAGGAAGAAGGCAATTGCAAATCTATTCTGAAATATGTTGCCAAGAAAATTACATGGACTTGTCCATGTAGTTACCAGGAATCAAGATTGACTCAAAGGCTCATGCACACAAGAAAGGTGTTTGCTCCCCTGCCCCAACTGCAGAGCAATAAAAGCTCAATTCCAAATATTCTGGAGTTTTGCAAGAGTGAGAATACCTCCCCTTGATCTTTCACCAAGCAAAACTGTGCAGCACTATGAGTTTCTATTTAGACCTGGGAATATTGTATAATCTATACTGCGGGGCTTCAGGTGATATTTCTCCTTTAGAGTATTCCCTAATAGGAATGTTTTGTCAATCAAAACAAAGGAAACATTTTATGGTAGATCCCAGCAAAAGAAGAAAACGAAACAACTTTTCTATAAATGGTATTTGTTGGAAAAGTATTCCATTCCAATTTGTTTTAGCACAATTATAGTTGTTAATAACACTCACAGAATAATCTATTAAAATTAATCCCGGATTGCTCTTTAGGTCCTAAAAGAATTCCTGAAAATCTTTGAAGAATGATTTCCAAACTTCCACGAGGCGTGAAATAAAACCAATACAAGGATGCCGGGTCTTGCTGATGAATAAATAAGATGTTTTGTGCTCCAATATGTTCTGCAGTCTTATTAGACACTACTGAAAACACCACTAGAAAAGTTTTAATTTGTTTTGAAAAGGAATTGCTTCCAATTTAGTTGTTTCTTTTTTTAGGCTGTGTTCATTTATAACATGTTTAAATATATATTGGCCACTTTGGTTAAATTGCATTCCCAAAATGGCTCATGAAAATGAAATTTAAAAAATAACAAAAATCAGATATAAAGTATTTAAAATTATAGTGCAGGCCATCTAAAAGTAGCATATTAGTTTGGCAGAGCAGTTCCAATGTTGTTTGTAGGGCCCTGATAAAGGGATGACCAACATATTTGGGTACTATGCCAGCAAAAGACTGGCAGAGCAGAAGCAGTTCTTGCATGTATGGTTGTGTGTAGGAGGGAAAGGATCCCTCCAATAGTAACAAATTGGAACAATTAAATTTAGATTATTTCTGAACTGATTTAAATATATTAAGTATTATGGGGCATGGAGGTGGACCAGAGGTACTTACAAAGTAGTGGTAGCCTCAGAGACAGCAAGGAGTCAGATAGAGCAGTCCGGTGTCTGATTGGCTTCTCCTAAGTTGGGCTCACCCCATCTGACAGAGAACAATTAATATACCCTATGGTTCCTGAGGATAGTGTCATAGATCGTTCATAGAAATGTGTCCCAGAAGCATATCTAAAAAGTACTTTACCATTGCATTGTTAAAACTTACTGTCTAGTACAAAGACTGCATGAGTTTTAAGAAGGCTGATTAGAGTTTTGGGCTGCTACTGGTAAGTTATTCCCCATTCAATCATATCTCTGTTAATAATTTGACATTACTATTGTTATCCAATTATATTCTCTAAAATCTGATTAACATGATTCTGGCCTAATCCAGCCAAAATTAAGAATGTTAGGCATACATAGATACATAATAAAGAATTAAAATATGCCTCTTGATATTTAGCCTAGCATTTTTAAAGGGGATTGGCTAATTTCCCTTTTCTCGCATCACATTTATGTAAGAAAATTATGTAGTACCAAGCTAGTCTGCCTACTGCACAGCTGCTGGACCTTGCTTTGCCTTTGTTTCATTATGGCAGGAAATGAGAAATGGATTTTTAAGTCTGATTTGGGATATGGTATAAAGTTAGAAGGACAGGAAGGCCTGGCGCGATATGGTTCATGGGGTCACGAAGAGTCGGACACGACTTAACGACTGAACAACAATAACAACAAATAAAGTTAGAAAATGTTCCAAATACAACATTGTTTTTGGAAAATGATCACAGAAAACAAGAGAAACTATATTTAAGTTTCTAGATAAACTATGAGTTCTAATCAATCCATATATGACATTTAAGAGTCAGGAACAAAATATTTAAATTAGAAAAAAATATGTGTATATTGTGTAGTGATTGGGTTACTTTCACATAAAGGATTACTCATGTGTAATGTCATTTCACATGCTAGCAAGGTTATGCTCAAAATCCTACAAGCTAGGCTTCAGCAATACATGAACCGAGAACTACCGGTTGAACAAGCTGGGTTACAAAGAGGCAGAGGAACAAGAGATAAAATCGCCAACATTCGCTGGATCATGGAGAAAGCACGAGAGTTCCAGAAAAATAT